GAATGTATGAAGCACTGGGAGGTGCTAAATTTCCAGTGATTTAAGATCATAAAACATACTGTTTACATTTTTTTCTGAGGATAGCATTAATGAATAATTTAGCTCTGCATGGTTATGAGAACAATTTGTGACATTTTATTTTAAAATATTTTCATCCTTGCAATCAAGATTAGAATTGCACATAGGCGTTATATAAAGAGAAGATCTATGACAAAGTGGTACAAAATCTGTTTTTAAAATGAATCTGTTAAACAAACCACCTTGTTTGACAGTATCAGAGGAAAATTAGATTTGTCAGAGGAAAATCAGATTTAGGCAGATGCTACGTAATCTGATAATCTGTGTAATCTTTTTACTGGAGATGTTTTACTCCAGATTTCTGAAAGATGAAGAAAGTAGTCTTATGAAGAATTTTGCTCAGGGAGTAGTCTTTAGTATTTTACTTATTTACTGATTTTAGATGAGACTGAGTGTAAAAAGAACAGTCACTTTCAGTTAGGTTTGGGACAGGAAAGGAGGAGATATTAAACTTTTGACCCTGTGTCATGACCTTTTTGGTGACTAAACCTTTGCAGTGCCCAGCACAGTGACAATCTGAAGGCTTCTTCAGTGGCCACAGGGGCCACTGAAAAATCAATTCCCATCAAACCAAATTTCAATTCCGATTCTAAAACTTGGTGAGGAACTCAGAAAAGTTTTTCCTGCTGTGCAGAATAAAACCCGAATGCTTTATACACTGGATGATAAGTATCTGTAAGGCCTTAACTGATCAAGTGGGTCAGAGTTTTACAACAGCTTTGCTTCTACTGAGTCTCAGAGATTTGCTGGAATTCTGAGGTAATTAGAACCAATTCAGCAGAAGCAGAAATATAAAACACGTTGCACTCACATCTTAAACTATGATCTCCCATTCAGAAATTTCAGAAGCATCCTGAAGGTTTATGACAAATGAAGTTATGACAAACGTGGTTTCTCTGCAGAGGTTAGAAAAGGACTAGTTTCTTTTCTCTTTTAATTGTCACTCATCACTACCATTGTGTGAAGTTGTGTCCTAGTGACTGAAAATGCTCATGAGATCAAAGCCTTAACATATTCAAGTACATAAGTAATATAACATATCTACACTATTATATGAATGACACAGTAATTTAAGGTGCTCATCAGCAATTCTGGTATTGTTAATAATAACCATATGAAGAAAATTGAGAATTACTGTTAAGAATTTGCTATTAAATTATACAGGAAATTGTATTAAACTGTACAGGAAATATTAATTTGATGTTTATGCACTAATAAGTCATGAGTTTAAAGAAGGCCTACCTATTCGGAGGTTTCTTCAAGATGCATTTCCTATAAGAAATATTGTTTCTTTTTCAAACATATATTCTTATGGGCTATTTTAAACAGAATAAATCTCTTCCTCTAAGCAATTTATTTCAGTGAAGGTCTTTTTTGTTTCTTTTCAACAGAAAAAGAGTTGTTTTAACCATCCCTCATTATCTTATAGTCAACAAAACCCATGTATGTCCACTGAAAACACCTATAAGAGGAAAGCAAGCCCAGAGCATAAAAGAGGCCCAGGATAGGAAATTAGACAACACTGAGAAAATGGGAAGAAAGTACAGGTGACACTTAGAAAAAAAAAGTATAAAGTATGTTACCTGTTCTTAGTTTTTGAGTCTTTCTCATGAAAAGTAGAGGTAGTATATTATTAAACTTTTAAAATAATATCAGCAACATTAAAGAATAACGCCGATAGAATTTGACATTATTTTTGCTTTAGCGTTTCAACTGCAGACATGTAGATAAGAATTTTCAGAAAAATAATCACAAAATTAGATAATAATTGAATAAGACTATGAAGGCTTTGCTCTGGAATGAAGGTCATACTTTTCAATACATAACATTGTGGAAGAGCATTCTTTCTCTTCATGCATTACATTTCTATCTACTATATTGATAGACTATAGGCTTGTCTTCTTGAATTAAAAACCCATGAAAAAAATCAAATCATAGTGTGTGATCCACTCCTTTTATCATCTGCAATATGTGGTCTGTTGCTAATAAATTTGTGCTTAGCTGCTGTCAATACCACTCTCAAAATTAATTTCTAGAAGATTGCTTTACATGGCTGAAGATTAACCTGTAGCTGCTACCAATGATCAATGATAGCTATCACGCATAAGTAAGAAAATCATCCTCAGATTAAAACAAGTAGGTATGTTTTATTTCTCACACAAAAGAGAAAATTGTTATTGTAAAAGTAATAGAGATTTGGCCAACAGCTGGAGGAAGGGTTCTGATCCCTCTTCTTTTTTATTATCTTTTACAATTTTTGTATGACTGGCCCAGAAAAGAAAACAGTATCGGTATTTTCATGCTTAAAATGCTCTACTGCCTTTAGCTCTGAGTTAAATTCTCCCTCTGCATAGGGTCTTAGGAAAGTTAGGAGTCTAAAAATGGTTAGCTGGCTGCACAAAACCACAGATCATAGGTTTTCACCACTGGCAGTATGAAAGTAGAAGAAGCTCAGAAGAAAATGGGGGCTCACCTCCTCGAGATGCAGAGATACCAAAGGCTCCAGGTTTGTCCCAGTGCTGGATGACCAAACCAGGTTTGCTTTTCCTGCACAGGCGGTGCTGGAGCCCAGAGGAGCTGTGTCCTGCTCCCCTCCTCAAATTCCTCTTGGGAGGCTCTGGGTTCCTGTTCCAGTGCAATGTGGGGGACAGAGCAGAAGCTCCCTGTCTCTGACTGAATGTGCCAGGCACTGTTTTGTGGTGGGGACCACGATCAGGTGGACCCTCCTTGTGTTTTTTGTGAGGTGAATGTGCGTCCCTGCTGGGCTGACCATCAGGAAGAGTAAGGAAGATGCATCCGCAGTTTTGCTGGCTATTTACTCTGAACTTTTTGCCCTTTCAGGGTCTGTGTAATTGCAGGAATATCCAAAACTCCCTTTGGAAGTTTAAGTTTACAGAGAATATATTGACAATGTGAAACAGCAGTTGCAAGGATGTTTGAAAGGCTTAAATTTTATACCTGAATCCTCACTGCAATTTAACCCTAAATAAATTTATTCCCAGGATCATGAAGGATTATAATTTCTTTTTCAGGTATCCAGTGAACATTCCAGATTCAGCATTTTTGTTGGCTTATACTGCTGGGAAAAAAAGACCACCAACTAGAAAACCAGTCACAACTAATACCTCTACAAATGCCTCAGTGTTCAGGAAGCAAATTTACCTAATTCTTAGGTCCCAATTGTTCTAAGTGAGCCAATAATCAAAAAGTAATAAATAGCTAACTCATTCTTAGCAGCAACTAAATGTGCATCTAAACAAGGAAACCTAAACCAAAATGTTGTCATGGTGTTATACAGGAGACTAAGCAAGCAGTGCAAAGCTCCTATTCCTAGGAGACCTGAGAGACTAGCTCAAATTTTTATCTGTCATGGTTAATTTATCATTTCACTGAAACAGTTGTCAACATGGAAAGCAAGTAGAAGGCTTCTATCAGGTACCTTTTGTTTTCTGAGGGCACAACAGACTTTGTTTCCAAATCAAAATTTCAGGTTCAGCCTTACTTAAAGAAGGAAAAAAATACTGGGGGGATTTTTTTTTTTGCTATTTTTAGCTTTTTGCTATTTATAAGGGCAATTAAATATTGAGATTGCTTCCTCTTAAGCATGCTATCATGAGGCCACATGCTGTGGTTTGTTTGACATACTGATTTCTCCCAGAAAGGAAGCAAGGAAAGTAGACCCTTGCAAAATTTATGCATGGGTATTGTTAGATTAAAAAGCTGGTAGGCATAGAACAGAAAAGATTTATGTGTTGTCAGTCTTGGAGTTACTGCTTCTATGGAAGGGAAAATAAGGACTCACCATCAGCATGTGGCTCAATACATGTCAGTTAAGTACTGGTTTCAAAGTAATTTGAACCTTAAAAATCCTTTATTTTCCATCTCCCATGCACTAATTTCATTATTAAAGACAATCACTGGATTTCAGTGTTGGGTTAAGCTCTTTCTCTGGGTTCAAACCTCTCTGAATTAGAAGTATATGACTATTAGCAGGTAAATTGTTGAGGTTCAATTACTTAATAAGTTAATTTCCCATATCAGTAAATTCAGGAAAATATACCAAAGTAGAACACCTGATTATTTATATCTGCTTCCCTTAGGAAGCAATGACAAGAGTTCAGAAAAATGGCTACAAATTAGTTCTATTAATTGGAGGTACACAGCATAAGAAAACAAGCATAGTAATGACAGCAAAATACAGACAGTGCTCCTGATTTTCACTGCTCTCATAAACCAGCAGAATAGTGCATGAGGATGGTGACTGACAAGCCCAAGCATGTGGAGCACCCTCTGGGAGGTAAAGTGAACAAAGTGGATCTGAGAACCTTGCTTTGCAAGAGATTCTCCACCTCTCCATAATTATCTCCATGGGGAGATCCCATGGGAATCATGGGATGTAAGTGGTGAGTAGAAACACGAAGGTCCTTAGCAGTTTCTGTCATGATGCTTCACTTCAGAAACATTGGTGTTAAACAAATGTGTTAGAAGGAAAATGTCCATAGATAGGCTATGCAAGAACTGCCCTGGCATGGGGTTTAGGTGGCATTTCTGGTAGAATGTATTTATTCTTGGCTTTTCTAATATTTGATTTTATTTCTTTCAGAAAATTATTACAGTTTTGTCACCTCTGGGTTCTTACCACCTCTTTTTTTCCATTGAGCCTCTATTAGTTTTAAAGTTGATGAATTATTAAATGCACCTTTCATATAAATACAATTAAAAGGTGTGACTGTATTCTTCCCAGTGACATGCATAATTAGCAATCACCTTTTTGTTTTATTTTGAAACAAATTCCCGGAGAAAAATAATTGTTGTCTATTAATATCTCATGAGGCCAAAATGCATGCTTTCATCAGAAAGAAGCTCTATAAACAGACCACTCCTATATTATACCATTTCATGGTGAAAAGCTGCATATTTACCCCTTTTATGTAGAAGAATACTGGCATGCCGGCGTCCATTTCCATTCTCGACATAGCATGAGTAATTCCCCAGGTCTGCCTCTTCCACAGAGTCAATAATCAATGAGATGGAAACCTCCTGTTCCCCAAGATGTTCCTTGAGAACCCTGAGAAAAAAAGCAACCATCTCTGCTATTCTGCTTGTATCAGCAGAGCACGACATCATCATGACATAATAATGCTCCTTTCAATTCACAACTCTCTGGCTTCAAATTTGGCTATGGTTTGATGTAATCTTAATTCTATCATGCCCTTTTCTTCCTCACTTCTAATGAGGAGATTTGGCTTTGTAAATGTTAATGACAGCTTCAGTTAATTGTCTTCTGTAAGAGGAATGATGGACACACTGGTAATATATCATTGCACACTCTGATGGAGCCCCTGGTCAGTAGTATGTGAAGTCTTGTAATGTTAGAAAAGTGAAAACAATTATTTTGGGGTTTAGAGTCACATTAGGTGTCTGGACCAAACACACTATTTGTGCACTTTCTGAGGTTCTTCAATGTGTCACTCTGAAACAACGTGTTCATGCTATGGTCTGAAAAATTATTTATAGAATGTATTATGAAATTTGACTAGGTATTATAAATCAATAGAAAGAATGTGTATACCACATGCTGCTCATTCATACAGATGATAAATAAAAGACCTCCTGCATAAGACCATGCCTGTCTTCACATTGCTTTCTTTCCCTATTAGCAAGACCATCAGTGGTTTTAGAAACCCAGGAAAGCAAATGACAAAACTTTCCAGGCTGCTCTCTCACCTCACACCTGGCAAAAGAAGTGGAAACTAGCTTTCCTGCTCCTCCCTCCACAAAACAAGAGAATTGTAATGAGGTTCTTGCCACCTTTTTGTCAGCCTTCAAAATAGCAAGTCTTTGGTTGAAGGGTTAGGAAGAGCTTTAGACGTGAAATACAGCTGATCTGGTTGTCATGTGCCATTTAGTGTATTTATAAAATAAACCTAAAGTATGTTGGGGTGAAATACACTTTCATTTTGCCTGCATCTGGGATGATGAACTCGAATGTCTATGTGGCCTTCTTGATTTTGTTAAAAGAATTGTCTGTTGTTTCGATTACAATCAAGAATCCCAAGATTTAGGTGACAATGAGCGCGACTTCATGTCTTTTGATGATATAGTAAACCCTTATGTAAAAGGTGAAGTATAAATAATCTTATTTTGTTTTATTATAAACAATCATGTAGATAACATAACCATGATTATTTATCGTCTTTTTTTAATGCACATTTAGATTTGCCTTAATTTCTGGGTTTATCCATGATATATAGACACAGTGACATACACACATGCAGAATTCTAAATGAAAAAGAACTCTCTTCAGATCCAAGTAGATACTTTATACTGAATAGAAGTTGGTATGCTATGTCAAGCATGTAATTCCCAATACAAAACCACTTTTTTCTTATTTTCCAAATGAGGCAGTACTTTTAGGAACCATAGAAGTACATGGTGCGAATTGCCAGATCCTCTCTAAAACATGTATTTCAGCAGATAAAGGCAGCTCACATAACAGGATGCTTGGCTCTCACAGGCCAGATAACATCTCAGGAAATTCAGTTTTTGCCTTGAAGAGAAGAAAGCAAAATATTTCAAAGAGAAGCCAGACATCAGTATTTATGATGGCTCCATGCTTTAAAAGACTTCTTTTGAGCTGTTTTTCTTGCTGTGTTTATTTTTCTGTATTTCATCTTAGTAACTGTCTTAGTGGTTGTTATTGTAGATTGCCACAGTTTTTAAAAGTCACTGTGCAAGTTCTAGTCCTTTAACACCACAATACTCATTGGGATGCTGTTCTGCTTTTGCATATTTCTAAGATCAGACCTGGCCAAGGCATGCATTTTTCTGTTTTGTACGGGTGGAGTTGAAAAGGTAAAGAACGGATGTTGCAAAACCAGGGATCAGAAACAAAGTGTTCCTGAGTTAGTCTGTGATAACAAGTATTACAGTACCAAGAAAATATATTAACTGGAAAAAAAAAAAAAATTTCTTTTACCTGATGTCACTTTCCCAGACTCGACTGTCATCCAAATCTTCAATAAACTTCTCCCCTTTCATCCAGTAGATTAAAGGACTGACATCTCCACTATACCCAAAGAAAGCTCGGCAGGTTAGATTAGTAGAACTGCCTGTTACAAAGAATGTAAGACAATTTATTATTTCAAAATCAATTAAAAACAAAAAGTTTTGAATCAGTTGCTTTTGTTGATTAAAAAAGAATAATCTGTAGAGACCCTCAATTTCCAGCTGCTGTTGAAAGCATCCAGAAGTAACTACTTATTGAACTAGTGTTCAATTTATTTTCTGAAAATGAATAAAATAAAAATGAAATTAAATGTTACATGAGAACAGGATTCAATTTTGAATTCTTTCACCAAGCTTTCTATGTTTGGTAAGGAAATGAAAGACTGTTTTTTCTCAGAAAGAGCTAATTTAACTCGATTTTCCATGTTTTCTTTGAGAACAGATAAAGATGAGGTAAAATAGACATGCAATCACATCTGTGTGAGTTCAGCTTTGCAATGGCTTCTGCAAAGAGGCTGGTAGATTCCTGTAGGGTACCATTTCGAGGGGAAAGCCAGTAGAAAGATGAGTGCTCATTGCTGAATTAACTTAGCAGACAAGTATTGAACACTGAAACTTGAAAAAGGAATACATGTGATCTCATTCTGTATATTATAGGACATGTCTTGCTGTATGAATAGGAATAACCATTAAGTGTATGCAGGAAAGAGTAGAAATTCAATATGTATGCAGCATAATTAATTGTTTGAGTGAAATTTAAAAAGGTAATACACCTTCACTTTGGTTTATTTTCATTGTTGAGTTTTACATTGTGTTAGCAGTTCTTGGTTTTGGGTTTCAACTAGAGCACATATAGGGATCGAGATAGTGCTTTGCAGGCATTTTTTGTATTGCTAAAGTGGGATAAAACTAGAGGACAACCACACTTAAAGATCTCCCATTCGCTCCTGTAAAGATGTTTGTGGATACATACAACAACTCTTCTAAACCACTATTTCAATTTCTTTAGCAGATAACTACACAGTGATTTAAAGAAGTTTTGTGATTTAAGGAGTGTTTTTTTTCCCCCTGAGGAGAGTATTTTCATGGAGTTTATATTCCTGCTGAGATGAAACTTATACTTTATTTACACTTCAATTTTCGATCTAATGATTGTAAAGCTGACTGACCACAGCTCCTGGAAATTAAAAAAAATAAAAATAAAAAAATAAAAACTGCATTGTTAACACTACTTCACTTTGTATCGAGATGCCATGAGAAGTCCATCTGGGTTCAATGAATTTTCTTAAAAACATACTGCTTTGGGTCAGGACCTGGTCCTTCTCAAACCTTCTTCAAACATTTATTTTGAACATCTTATTACTTTTCAGTATGGAAACAAATACAAGATTATGTATAAAAAGAAGATGAGTAATTATTAAATAAATGCCTTATTTATCTGGAACTATTTCTGGTTTTCTGTAAAAGCATCTGACTCTTCTGTCTGGTTTGAACTCTCACATCCACACTGTAAAAGGTGCAGAATCAAATGTTTGTAATTAAAATGTGCAACACCAAGCCAAGTACCATCTATGTTGCTTTCACAAGCTATTTAGGAATTAAATTGCTTTTAAACATCTCATGAACCTTTGGTTAGTGCCACACTCTTTGTCAGGAACACTTGCTAAGGAGACAGGAGTATCCCAGTTCTTGAAAGTAAGATGGAGAGGAGAGTCTCATTCATAATCAAAAAGTATGAAAATGAATCTTTGACTAACATGTGAGATAAGCCTTGGGAACCACTTAACACGGGTCAAGTGCATGAAAACCTGTAATAGAACATGACAAACTTTCTGGTTGTTGCCTGGACATTTTAACAGATGCAAACCCAGTTTATTATAGCAGTTGCACAGCAGATATAAACTGGATTTTTGTCATGCCGTGCATTATAATTATCATACCTGAAATGTGAATATGAAAATACAAAACCTTAAAGGATTATGAATATCTTGCCACAGTCATCCAATCTAGCACAAATTCAGGGCTGTGAAATGCTTCATAACCACAGCACTGGTGGATTCTGATCACTCTTAAAGCAGAAGGTACCTGCACATCAGAATCAAAAGCAGGTCCCTGTGATAATTGTGGTTATCTCCCTGTATTAAAGGGAAGAGTGCTACCTAATGCATTACTCTCAGTTCTTGGGCTTTTTCTTCTGGAGCTTTCCCACCAAGTCAAGGCCCTGTTGAAACTTTTCAGCTTTTAAGAGCTGTCAAGATCACAGTTAAAGGGACTGTAGCTTCTGGTGACCTTATCCATGATTCACACAAATTAGGCACCACAGGTGCTGAAGCACCGAAGCTCTCCGGGCTCCTACAGCTAACATCCACTGAGAGCTGATTTTTGTGCTGTACAGACCTCAAAGCCTTTTATAGTTGAATATTAATGGACACGGGTTTGTTTTTTAAAAATAAACTTCTTCTGTAAAGGGCAAAAAATGTAAGAAAAAAATAATTTGTAACATTAATTGTTTTGCCTTATAAAATTCTTGAACAAAATTCTCCCTTGAAAAAACATAAGTAAACATATTTTTAAACATGGAATTCAAAGGTTCTATTCATCAAGAAATATTTATACCTGAGAAATACAATAGGAAGGATGTAACACCTCTTAGTAGTTCTGTGTCAATTGCAGCCACTGAGCAAAGGCCATTAGTGTGCAGGGTGTTCAGCTATAAATTACCCATACCATCTACCTTAAGCAATCTTCACAGTAAGCCAGTGGGAAGTTCATTAGCAGGTCATCAAGAAAGATTCAGTGACCAGCTAATGACCAACTGTGACAATTAATGAAGAGGTCTGTTATTGCAAAGCTCACAGCTCATTGCAGAGGGCAGTAGAGTTCACTTGGTGGAGCAGAGATGCTTACAACTGTAGGCACATGTAAGTAATGGACAAAGGCCGGCTGAAGGGCTTTTTTAGGAGTGGACAGAGTATTTTTGAACTGCATCTTGATCTCTGCTCCAGACCTGCCCTCATGTGAGTAAGTGTATGCTGTAGGTTGGGCTGCATTTTTCCCTAGAAGTACACCTTTGGAGTGAGAAGACAGATAATGCCTAATTTGGCAGCTGCAGCTGCTCTGCATGGGCAGTCTGGTTTTAAGAAGCCTGCAGATTTTTAGAAAGCATTCAAAATTTAAGTAAACAAATACAAGAGCTGCGTAGCTTCATGTTTAAGTTAATGTATAAATCAACCTGTCAGCCAATCAATAGAAATCGCTCTCAGTTAACCCTACACAACTATTCCTCTACATGTATTTTGTGTGCTGGGAGAAACTATAGAAGTGATTTAAGAACTGTAAAAGTTTGATGAATGGATATGTAATGCTTTTTATGACAATATTTTCAAATTTCCTGTAAATGCTGGATTATTGCAGTTTTATAGTCTATTTTTGATGGAATATAAATACAGATTTTAAATTAACTACATGTTTTAAATTAACTACATGTTTTAAATTAAATTAGTAGGGAAATCTATCTCTTTCTCTCTGTCCCCTTTGCTGTGAGATGCTGTAAATTCTTGAGAATGTTCTGTCTCAGGTTGTGTCTTGTGTAAACTGATTATTTTATGGACCCTGGAAAAGTCAAAAGGCATGAGATTAGAATTAGTAAGTGAAACTGATAGTGTTTTTATTAACAGCCCCCCCCCCCCCCCCAAGGAAAAAAAAAAACATCAAATCAAAACACAGCATCCTCAAGAAGGGATAAAAAAATGAGGCTTTTGACTTCTCAGTATGATTATCATATTTTACTGTGAAATAATGTAATAAATACATGTAAAAGAACACCCCAAAAGTAAGCTTCAACTGAATATTTCTCCATCAGTCTTATTTCTGATGATGAATATGCTTTTACTGAGCTGATGTTTGTAGAAACTGGAATATATAGTACTACATATTCCTGCTGTTCACTGTGATAAACTTGCACTATCAATTCCAGCCAACTTGGTTCAAGCTAAATTAATCAAAAGCTCTTTGCCCTCTAAGTGGAGAGCAATTTTTGTTACATAGTATGCTTCCAAGTAAAGCAGAATGCAAGGAGGGACCACAACAAAGTGTACTTCCCTGAAACCAACAAATCCCTTCAGCAGAGCAACACACCGGTTTTGCATCCATTTTCTCTAACTGGAAACATTTGGGGCACCATGAAAACTACTGCTATGGGACCCTATGTGCAGGAGAGGGCACTGTTTACCTTCTAAACATTAAAAACAAAAAAAAATCTAAGTAAATTCCTAGTGCATAAGCTATAATTAAAAACATCACCCTGCTAAGAATCTGTTAGTTGTAATTAGCAAATAGTGAATGTTTTGTGGTTAGTGAAATGTCATTTTGTATGGGCAGTCTAAATTACACTTGCACCATTAGTCATATAAGTTAGCATACACTGTAATGGAACTCATTCTAGTCTTAGATTTGACAGATTCTTCAGTGAAGGACAACGATTTTTGTTGGAAGCAATGACAATTATCAGAGTTCTGCTATCGTTTTTTAGAAGAATCCTCAAAGATGTATTATGGAAGTGGAAATGTTAAGTGTACTGAAATGCAGGACTTTCTTTTACTGTACAACATAAAACATTTATAACACTAATGCACAGGCAATACATACACACTTATAAGTATGCCATTTATAATGTAAGTATGCCATTTGCTTGTAATGTTAATGTTCCAAAATGAAATTATAAAAGGGCAAGGCAGATGCAGTCAAAATCTCTCACACATGAATTAAAATAATTCTTTCTGCTCATATAAGAGAAAAGTACTGATGAAATATCAGTCTTCCAAGTGGAGGGATGTTAAAGCTGTTCTTAGGTGTGAGGAATAGGTGGCAACTCCTCACAAAGTCAATAACCCACTTCTTTTACCAGTGTCATCTGCCAAGCCCAGCTGGCAGGTAAGTAGAAGCTGCTCATGTATTCAGAAAGTCCCATGTCCTAAACCAGTTCAACCCTTCTTGAAAGTCTTCTTGTAAACATGATTAAGAAAAAACCCGAACAACAAAACCCAAAAGAAAATAAGGTACAATATGTTTTTGAGCCATGAGCCTTCATCAGATGACTATATTG